CTGTTTAGAACGTCTACACTCCTTTCTGTCTTAAATCTCACGTGTATTGCAGTTATGGAAAGCTGGATGACCTGTGCGTGGCAGTTTGCACATGACTAAGCAATTGATGTCCACACTCAAGTTCTTCCATCTCTGTGTGGAATGGGGTGTTCTAGCTAACCTACTTGTCCGTAATGGGAACGTAAACAATGCCCTTCACAGAAACATGTTTTATTTTTGTGGGAATACTGCAGTGAGCTTGTTGCCATTGCTTGCACTCTTTTCTCACACTCAGCGGATTGCAGTGCTCCACTAGTATTAGTACAGAGGTACTGATTTCAGTTGAAGGCTGTGAGGTATGCAAAAATGATGCGTTTCCATAGCCACTGGTAGTTAGCAGATGGGCTGCTGCTTCCAGTACTAATTGAACTACTTTAGCCAACTGTGGCTCCAATTCCTTAGTGTTAATCTATTGCTACTGAGGCAAGAATTTGCAAAGAGATGGCTTAATAGGACAGGTGGTTCATAGTGCAGCTATTGAGATGATGAGTGGATTTTTTGTACATATCTTCCCATTTGGACATTGAGTAGCCAGAAATAATATTGAGACATAAGGAAGAGACCCTGAAACTATTTACTCTGTAGAGGACAGGGAAAGAATCTCTAGTAATTGATCTTTCTCATGTGTTAAGTAACAGTTATGCTGAATTTCAAGGGAGAGATGAAATCATTGTCGTGTTTAAAATTCTGATTCTACCTTCTGTTGAGTGTGGTTATTAGACTATTCTTTTCTTCTCTCTCTGACATGGCAGGAGCATTTTACAGTCCATTTCACCACAGCATCCTATAGAAAGCTGACACCTTGACCTTGTTTAAACTATGTTGTGCAGTAAAACTATCCAGTTCACTTTCAGATTAAGCAGCAAGCTGCATATGCAGCCCACGTTCTTATGGAAGAATGAGGGTAGTGTCTGTACTGTGGAGTCGAACTCATAAATGTGAGTTGACAGAATCATACTAGGAACTACTGCAGACATAAAAACCTGGTGAGGAATCTTACTAGAACTGCCCGTGGTATGATTAATTTCAGACAGCATCCTACCAATCAGACCCTTGCTAATGTGCTGATAAAGAAAGTTGTGCAAGTGTAATCAGTAACGGTATTGCTGAAAAAACAGAAGGTCATGTAACAAAAATTCATTTATTTTATTAGTCATTAAGTAAATTAATATTAATGTAATCTCATAATTATAAATATCTGATTGAGATACAAACTATTGAATAAATGGGTTGAGGCCTTGTAACTTGCAGGAATTTGTACTGAAGAATCTTCTTTTGGGTGGTTACAGGAAGGCTGGATGTTCCAGAGGACAGTGTGATCTTGGTTTAAATATGCAGGTAGTTATCAGCTCAAACATGGGCGTCAGCATCTGATTTTCCTGTGCTTCTGATACTACCAATATGTCTAGGAAGCATTTATTTTTTTTATTATTCTCCGGACTCAACAGGGAGTTTAAATCTGCTACCCCTCTTTGCCTTTTTGCTTTTTTCACTTTTTCTCTGTCCTGTAATCTTCATTACTAGTTGAATTGGTTGTTTATCCAGATAGGAAAAAAAAAAAAGAAAAGAAAAGAAAAGAAAACCACACAGTTTAAATCTAGACAGGAGATCTTCCTGAAGACATTTGTTTGAAACAATGTAATAACAACATCTAACAATGTTATTTGCCCTACACACCCAGAGAGTCTAGGCACTACCACAACCCTGTTGTTTCTCACCCTTCACTTAGGAGCAGAGTAAAATATGGCCCTTACCCTCGAATGTTTACAGTCTCTTTTGAAATGTTCTTCTTGATAATGTTATAATGTGCACTTTTCTCTGTACAGCCTTGGGCTACTGCCACCATTCATAGACATGTCTTCAGAGGCCGCTGCTTTAAATTCTCCGCAGGTTATGCAAACTGAGAACTGCCTCCTGGATGCATGGAAAACTTAGCTAGTAGAAAAAATGCCATTCAAACTATGAGCACTATCTTATGGTTAACTCATGCTGATATGTAACACAGCCATCGGACAAATATATTTTGATACTCATTTGCAAAATAGGAACTGCCTGCCTTATTGGAACTTCTTCCATGTATTGATGGTTTTCTTTGAAATGGTCAGGTATAGTCTGATGGCTCTTTCAGTTCAAGTTTGTAGTGTTGAATTTTATGTTTACTTGAAAATCAAACTACTCTTAATTATTTTTATCTTAATAAAGAGTTGAGAGTGAAGTGGCTTAGATGTACAGGAATCAAAGCATCTGTTGAGATAGCTTTGATGTTGAACAGCTTGAGAGGACAGGATGGCAAACAAAGCTGTTAGTGTTTCAGTAGCACTAAAGTTATTGTGATGTGTGGAAAGAAGTTGAAAGGCTGATGGTGAACAAATAGCAAATTGCTGTTTTGTGTACTGTGCGCTTAAGGAAGTGTAGGATTTCATTGATGTAAATTAGACCAAGTATTGTCCTGATTTATTGAGACAAATCAAATGTAGTTGGCTTAGAGATTTGAAGACTCGTGTTGTACCTGATGAGAGCAGCAGTAGAATATCAGAAGCTGGTAGCCTCCAGTGGGTGTAGAGATGGTTTAAATGTGCAAGGGGATGTTGAATAAGTAGGACAGAAGTACTGCAGGACAGCAAGCTCAGTAGTGAGTGCCTTTACCAGTGGCCAGGAGAGGGCAAATAAGGCATTCTTAATGCTGCTAGAAAAGAAAAGAATCATTAGAGCAGTAAGCAGAAACAAACAAGGAAATTGCAATTTTGTGGTGGTTATTTGAGGGAATAAAGTGTCTAGAAAAGACTTCACCTTTTTTAATGAGCTGTATGCCAAAGGCAAGTAGAAGGTTTAATACCTTTAGGCCAAATCATGACCTGCTGTAGATTTAATAGAGACTGGCAGACTGCTGCTGTTTGCAAGGAAGTTCTGCAGATTTATAGCAGTGCAGGTTTTGGAGTCAGCTTTTTCCATGTATATTTTTCTCAAATAAGTATTACTGCATTGAAAGGCAGGAATACAAGCGCCGTATTACTAATACCCTTGTAATAATAATACGTATTTTAGCTTTCAGAGTAATTTTGGGGAAAATGCAACAAATAAATAAAAGAAAATAATGAACACTCATAAGTAAACCAAGAAAGCAAAGCCGACTCCTCAGAGAAACAGCCAAAAGCAGAATTAAAAATTAAAGATGAAATAGATCCTCGAGCTAGATCTGAAGCACTAGAAATCTTTACATAAAATATAGGTGTAAATCTTAAAGCCAGTGTAGGATGATGTTCTAGTCCATAGCGGGGGGAAAAGTCAAAATGAAAGTGCTGTGAATGTCAGAGTGAGACAAAACAACCTACATTTATCCAGCACTTAACATTTTGATATTGAATGACCATTAAATAAAACAGAAAGTTACGTTTATCTTAAATGCATGGAAATTAAAAAAGGAAATGCTGTATTTCTAGAGATTCCGTAGCTATGAGCAAAGTATTGTTTTGACAGGAGGGCTACATTAAAGTAAAATACTAAGGGAAGTATTGGTGATTTAAAATAAGAAGACGTGAGTGCTTCACCTCTGGATTTAATAAAAGCCAACATACACACAAAAGTTAGATTGAGCAGCCCTTTGAAAGCAAAGCAATTGGTATTTGAGACAAATTGAGTTAATTTACGTCTTTAAGAGAAGACTTTGGCAAACAATGGATTATGTCTTTGTGAAGATACTAAAAATTTCTTTGAAGATATTTAAAGAAACAGCACTGGTCAAGAGCAAACGCTGTGGTTGTGTTTACCTACTGGCCCCATCCCGATGGCTCTGCTCTGTGCAGGTCAAGAGCTGGCCTGACAGCAGGCCGTGTGGAGTCAAGGAAAAGTGTAATGGTTCCACAACTCTTGGGTCTGATCTACATTCTGACATCACTGGTTCTCTTCATTGCAGGGATGGCAAGGAAGGCAGATCCCAAGTCTTCAGACTTCAGACTGTGACAGTGCCGTGTTTTGTGGTGCATTTCTATGTAACCTTAGACAAATTTATTTTTGTGAGTTCAGTATGTTAGGGCTTTTCATAATTGCCATGTGTGGAATGAAAGGCAATTTAGGCAAAAAGTGTGTATAGCTGCAAATATTAGAAAGTATAGTTATTATCAAAAGCCATGAAAGGAACTTGATGCAAATGTTCCATCTACAATAGAAGGGCCAGACTCTAATATCATGCATGATGCACAGTAACAGATTTTACTCGAGTACCATGGGATGCCCATACTGTGCCTGAGATTAGAATCTGTCTCAAAAATGGATTATTTGGATACAAAAGAAGCAATGATGAGGAAAATAAAATTTTACTTTTCCTCACCCTTAGCATGTGAAATTTGGCTCTTGGCTTTGTTTTTATTCTTGGTCATTTATTAGAAAAAAATTGGCAATAAAAATAATGACAGTATAAAATATCACTCCTCTATAAGAATCACATCATCAATTTGAGACAAAAAAAAGTTATTCTTTCACCACCAGTTGCTCAGAGCAGCTAGCAAATCTTTAATATTTAAATATTATCTATATTACCTGAAGCTAACAGTGACTGCATTACCAGGGGGGATTTCCCTGCAGTGCTGTTATCATGCATGATGCAGGTGCTGTAGCAATAGAGCTCTGGTGTTGTGGAAACTATGAGCAGTCTAATCTACTCTGCAAATCTTATGATCAGAGACAGTATCTTCAACTATTTAAATCCCAAGCTGTATCATCTTTATTTTCCCCCATATTTAGATTTTGTCTTTTGTTCTTGTCAATTTGGGGAGGAGGTAAATGAAAGTTGAATAGAAACCATAATTAATCTGGGACAATCGCTTGCAGCATTAATTTATATTCAGAATTTTGCCTTGCAGCAGCTCGACAGCTCCAGAAGGCTAATAAGGCAAAGGCTGCAGAGCTTGTCTCCTTATTGAATGATGTATTTATGACCCTAGTCTCTTATTTTTAATTCACAGCACCCCAAGAGAAGTTGGTATAGCTGACCCAAGGTCATCTCCAGAGTATCGTTTGCCAGGTAAGAAACTCCCATTAGGAATGGGAGAAAGGATTTTTAAACTTCATGGGATGGTGAGGGATGTGGTGAACCTAGCTCCCATGCACTGTCATGGGAAGAAGTCCCCACATACTTCAGTTATCCTATTGTGACCTAAAACTTCTTTGAGGTTGAAAAGCAGCTGCACCAGGGTTTCTGTCATTCTGGATTAAGAGAAATTTCTTGGAATGCTACAGTGCATAGGAGTGGCTGGTATTTTGAAGTGTAGTGTTATTAATGATCTCCATGGAAATCATAGTACTGGTACTGAAAGTACCTCTTAAACAAATGGCAGGTACAAAGTAAAGGGCCAAACTCTTTGAACAATTTGAGTGTTTTGTTTAATTATTATATGTCTCTTTTACTGCATCTCAGGTGAATAGAGTTTAAAGGATCCTAATTTTAGTGCAACCAAATAACTAGTAATGCAGACAAATTCTATTCATTGTTTTAGCAAAGACTAAAATCACAAAAATGGTCATAGCAAATGTTTTTCTAACATACAATCCTCAGTGACTTTGAGAAAAATGCCTGCATTCTAGTCATACTTCTGAGACCAGCTATGAATCTTTACAGCTCACAAGTGAAGCAATAAAATTTCAATGGCAAAATGCTTGTCGTCATAAAAATGTGAAAAATATGCCACTGTTCAGGGGCTAAAAGCTGTCCCAGGAAATGCTCTCAAGTCTGTGAATATTCATTGTGCTGCCTGAAAGTGCACCTAATTTTAAGGTATTATCTTTATTCAGTATTTTACTTTTTGCATATTGTTTAAACTAACTTTAAACATTCTGAAAATGTAAGTATTTTATTTATCACTTGTTAGGTAGATGAATGAAAGTACTAGTCAAGTGGTTTTTGAATAAGCTGCTTTTTAAGCTTGCATATCAAAGTATGCTTTTGCACAAATAAAAAAAATTGAGTATAAAAATTACATATTTTTACTTCTATATACAATCATACACGTACAATTCTAAAATCTCATTTCTTTGAAGCTGTAGTAATTTCTTCAGAAATATCATGCTCCAGCTTACACAAACAACACAAGTTATACAGGATATAACATCAAATGAAACTCAAATGCTGTGTATTAGCAAAAAATATGTCCCACATCTTGCCACCTCCTTCCCAGTTCTAATTTGACACAGGGACACCACAGACTTAAGAAGTCTTTACTGTGCAGGTAATCAGTATGTTGTTGTGTAACAAATACTCAGGATGCTAAAGAGAAATCTTCATACTGATACTTTGTTTTCATTCCTTTGCCATTACAAATTAGTTGGAAGGTGACTGGGGCCAAATCCCTAGCTCAAAATGTTCTGTCATCTAGGCAATTTTAATAAGTTTTTGAAACTGTATTATATTGCTGTTGATGCAGCAAAAGATTTGCTTTGAAGATCATGTTTGTTTGATATTCTGACTACTGACAATGGTTGACATGGAGGATGCCATCATCTTTGCTTTGTTGTGAGGTCCTTCACATTCGTGTCCTTTGCAGTCACACAAATCTTCATGTATACAGGGTAAATAAATTCCTTTTTCATCATAAAAGAAAATAAGAACAGGGTATGGGAAAATATTACCTGTTATTAATTATAATTCTCTGCTTTATCATGACAATCTAATCTAATAACTTTTCTGGATTTTTTTCTATGCAGCTGTGAGTTCACCTCACCTGAAAATGTGCCCCAAGACTTTAATGGTGGAATAGCTGAATTTTTTTTTCTTTGACAGTCTTAATGCATACATGATCAATTAAAACACACTTATCTTTAGAATTATTTGTTCTCTGTTCCTGTGCTTTGTCCTTGTATTTATGTAGTATACATATTCTCAATAACTCTTTCTGAACCTAGTAAGCCTTTCAAGACTGGGAATGCAATACGCACTAGCTAGCTTCCTCTTCTATCACTGGCTTTATTTTCCTATCTATTCTGTCTTCCATTGCACATTAACACTTTAATGTATTTGCCTTGTCTGCAAGAACCAGAACCCAAGTTTTACCAGTAACCATTTGTATGTTTGTAATCAGTTGTGTTTAGTAATATGGGCACTTGTAGCACAGCTTGCCTAATTCTGGCCCTAACAAACCTAGGTCTGGGTTGAACTGATAGGCCTTTGTATCCTGTCTCTCTTTGAAATAAAAAATGGGGGTGTTAGTGAGAGGCTGTTCAAAGCAAGAGATGCTTTCCAGAGAAAGCATGTAGAGAACTGGAAAGCATAAATGAACTCGTCACAAATCTCTGCAAGGTGTATGATGTGTTGTAATCTGGCTTAAAATATAAATTAAAAAGGTCTGGTCATAACTGCTGGTTGAGATTGATATTTTAATGGTTTTGGACTGTTTAGTCTGTTCTAATTTACTTATCTTCACTCAGCTCTGTTAAACACACGTCATTTCCAGGAAAACCTTCAGCTAAGCCATAATTTGTAGTTTGCAGTTTGCAGTTCGTCAGAAGGCCAAGCCTTACCTGTAGCATGCAGTTCTACATGAGATGTCTGCAGCAGGTTGTTAATATGTTTAGGGTTCTTAGTTCACATCAGTTTGACTTGGAGTACAACGGAAAGCTGCTCCATTGCAGCACTCCAGTTGTGGGAGTCATCCCACCATGTTTCAGTAATGGCAATTAAGTCATAGCTTGCCTTCCACACAGTGGCCCCCAACTCCTCTTGCTTGTTGCCCACACAGCATGTGTTGGTGTAGATGCACTTCAGCTGAGCCGCTGGCCTCACCACCCCAACCCCAGCATTATCCCCCATGGCTCATCTCTAGTGAGCTTCTCTTCTCCCTTCATACCTACTTCAAAGCCCTCTCAGTGAGCCCTGCCAGCTGCTGGGCAAGGATCCCTTTGCTCCTTTGAGACAGGTAAGACGTGTACACAGCCATCAGACCAGATGCTGAGCAAACTACTCCATGGTTGAAAAAGTCAAAACTCCTGCAATGTAACCAGCCTTTCAGCCATGTATTTATCAGACAGTTTTACAATCCTCTCAGTATCTCTCCCTGCCACCCTATGGACAGAGGAGAACATCACTTGTACTACTGCTCCCACTAACCGGAGTGGTTAGTTGATGAACTTTCTGTGCCCAGAGAGTTTCAAACAGAGCTTCCTTGTGGCAGTGTGGAAACATCTGATTGTTACTGAAAATAGAAGCTGCTTTTCTGTGGTGGTGCTGCATGATTTTCCTGTCAATTTGCAAATGATTTGCCTTCAGCATTTCTCTGATTTGCCATGCAGTTCAGCACTGATATGCCTGTGGAAAAATAACTGATACCTAGTTTTTACCTATTCAAGACTGGAGCCACACTTCCTCTGAGGGCTGACTAGCTGAAAACAGCAAAGCTCCCTCTGGCAGTAGATTCCTAGAAGTAGCAATTAAGTAAGCCTCCTGATAAAGGCTTTGCTAAATGCCAGCATTTTTGAAGCAGAGTGACAACTTCTATAGCTGATGGGAGGGAATCAGGAGTGCAGTGAGGGAGCTGACTCTTGCCTGCAGCAGTCACTACTTCACTTGTTCCCTCCCACCAGCAGCACGGTCTTTTCCAGAACTGCCATTCTCTCTTGCTACACCTGCCCTCTGTTGTGTTCCAGTTCTGCTTCTCATATTTGGGGCAGGAGAACTCTGTTTTCTCTGCACCACCAGGAAGCATCTGTATGGCTCTACCTCTCTACATTTGAACCTCTTCAGCAGCAGCATTGAGAGCTCAGGCAGCCTGAAGCTGAGGTGTGTGTGGTACTGGGGCTGTGGAATCTCCAGCAGTGAGGCAGCAACCACCATCAGGTCTTGCAGCTTGATGCTGAAGCACGGGCATAGCAGATTGAATCTGTAGGGAGTTGAGATAACAAATTTCTGCTAAAAAAGCTTGCAGCTTCATTAAAAGCATTTCACTGCTATGAGAGATGGTATAAGGCCAGGTGTCTGGTTCGTTATGCTTCAAAATTTTCCTCTGTATCGCAGTGATTTTGATTGACACAATTTGATTGTGAAAATAAGATTATTTTAATGGGAAAATATATTTTGTCTTAGTTTTGTGCTTTAGTCTAACTGAAATTTCTTTAAACTTCCCCTTCAATTCAGATGGGGTATGTATTCGTGTTTATAAACAGAAATGGCTAGACACAGGAGTTTCTAACAGGAAGCATTATATCAGCCTAATTTTATTTGGAGAAGGAAGTGTTCTTTCTCATTTAAAAGGGGGGAAAAAATTGGAAAGTAAATCCTGAGGATGCTCTCATTATTCATGAAAAACGTTATTGAAAGCAAACTCTTAGGTGACTGGCCAAACATCAAAGTGCATATCCATAGTTGCAGAAAGAATTATTTCAGGCTAGCAGAAATTTATTCAAAACATCTGGTCCTTTCATTAGCATGCTAAGTTCTTATCATCTTTGCTTGTTCATTCTGCCAGACTTCCTTTGCAACATGAGGGAGGAGGGATTGTCATGTATAAAAGTTCAACCAGGACTAAAGAGCAGCAGATTTAAGTAATGGTTGTGGCAAGCACAATGAGATCACACCTGGTTCAGTCCCTCTTGCTTTTTCTTGCTCCTTGATATTGTTTTTGTAATTGTACGTCAAACCTTTGACTTCAGCATTACAGCATTTCAGCAATTTCCTGCTTTTGTTTCCAAATATTGCGTGTCTGTGACTGAACTTTGAGAGCCACATATGTGGCTTTCTGCCATTTAGGGTTGTATGCCACTTTCTCATTTAAGGCAAGGGGGAATGAAAGAAAATTAACTGCAGAAATAGTCGGCTTTACTGAATAACAGATCTCTGCCATTGTGCTCTCAAGAAGTGACAAGTGGACAAAGTGGGCTGAGATGGGCAGCTGTTGAGATCTGTAACGGTGTTTAGGTTTGAATTTAGGTTGAATGTCAGGGGGAAGTTCTTTACAGAGAGAGTGGTGAGGTGCTGGAACAGGCTGCCCAGAGAGGTTGTGGATGCCCCATCCCTAGAGATGTTCAAGGCCAGATTGG